CATGAAAAGACCTCTCCATGGAACGAAGGTGTGTATTTTGTTATACAAATATACACAATTCCTCTTCCTTGAGATGAGGTTATCTTGAGATGATTTCGGGGCTTTTTAGTGTCCCCGCGGCCCGGTCCTCGACCAGGCCTCCACCCCCAGGAAGCAGCCCGTGACAGCTGGCTAACACCCAGGTACCTATTTTACTGCTAGGTAACAGGGGCATAGGGTGAAAGAAACTCTGCCCATTGTTTCTCGCCGGCGCCTGGGATCGAACCCAGGACCACAGGATCACAAGTCCAGCGTGCTGTCCGCTCGGCCGACCGGCTCTTCGTTACATATTGTATCTTTAAACGGTAATTTATGCAAATAATACTGTCAAATTTTTATTGTTATAATTATAAACGCAAAATTATTAAATAGTAATAATAATAACCCAATTAAAAATTACTGTATACGTCAGCATTTATTCATCATTTATACATGATATTTCCACTAATATTGTGATCCATTCATCGATATACATATTTTTGTATATGTAAATCTTTTTTGTTCTGAATTATATTTAATTCAATGTAAATTTTAAATGTTCGTCATTTCAGTCTTCTTATATTTTTTTATTAGTTTTATTTTAATGTTTCTTTAGCAGTTCTGTTGTGTGTTTACCTATTTGTAATTATGGGGGGTGAGCTATGGCTCTTGGGTCCCGCCTCTCAACCCTTAATCGACTGGTATATAGGTGCAGTCGATTATACGTATGTATATATATATATATATATATGTGTGTGTGTGTGTGTGTGTGTGTGTGTGTGTGTGTGTGTGTGTGTTTGTGTGTGTGTGTGTGTGTGTGTTTCTAAGGCTTTTTTTAAGGCTTCTGTAGCTATTTGAACACCTGATTTTTATTTGTTAAAATAAAAATCCGCCTGTAACAGTAGCTTTCTGTTGCAGAGATATTCCTGTTATAGACTGGAGCTCTCCTGTTACTCTGGTCGATTTTCCGTATCATTCACTGTAGCCTCCTGTAGGGTACTGTATCGAAGACTTTCTGGTAGTCCATATATGTACAACTTCGCTCGACTCTCTATTTTGTCTGCTCAGCCGTCGAGTCAAGTCTGTAACGCAGGCTCTGCTGACCCAGGACGCAAGGTGGTGTTATGAAGACCCTTCTCTCGAGATGTTCTCTTCTCTCAAGATGTTCTTCTCTCAAGATGTTCTCTTCTCTCAAGATGTTCTTCTAGCCTGCCTCTTTCTTGTGCTCTTGTTCACTATCAGGAAGTGCATGTAAGGAAGACTGGCCTGTAGTGTAGTGCCTCTTGTTTCCTTTTGAGGTCATCCTGGTTCAGTACTTCAAACTAAAATATAATATATCTTTCAGTTAATTACCCTCCTCTTCCTTCCCTTCACCTCTTCCATATCCCTTTCCCAGCTACTCTTCCATTCCCTCCCATTCTCCTACCCTTCCTCGTCGCTCCTCAGAGGAAAGGGAGAACTACCCATCTCTGGGGAGGTGGGAGGACTAATGACCTTAGTTTATGGTCCTGGGTTCGATCCCAGGCGCCGGCGAGAAACATTGGGCAGAGTTTCTTTCACCCTATGCCCCTGTTACCTAGCAGTAAAATAGGTACCTGTGTGTTAGTCAGCTGTCACGGGCTGCTTCCTGGGGGTGGAGGCCTGGTCAAGGACCGGGCCGCGGGGACACTAAAAAGCCCCGAAATCATCTCAAGATAACCTCAAGAAGGGTGGGAGAAGCTAGGAGGGGGGAAGGAAAAGGGAAGGAAGAAATAGAGAAAGGAGGGATTGAAGGAGCAGGAGGAAGAGAAAGAGTAGGACTAGGAGGAAGTAAGAAAGTAAGAAAAAATATATGCAAAGGATGAAAAACTTCGATGTTTTTCAACCAAAGGATAAAAATTGTGGACCTTTGGCTTAGGTCCACAATTTCAATCCGGAAGGGACAATGCTGTGTGGCGCAGCAGCACCGTAGAACATATCCCTAGATAACGGAACACACTTAGTTTGTCTGAACTGACCTCAGGATTATTATAGAACGTCAACTGGCCAAAAGAGCTAGAGTACAGACTTAATTTTTTTTGTCAAAGATCTTCTCATGTGAGGCAAGGTATATACGACATTCTTCTCCTGGAAGACATTCCGCTTGGTCTAGGTCTTCGTGTGAAAGTTTACGGTCTTTTTTTAATTATTGTATATGGTTAGTTATTAACCCCAATGATCTCAATATATAGGCAAGACGACATTTCCCATTGTCATCTAACAATGTCAAAACAAGTTACTGTCAATTATTTTCATCATTTCTACACCCAACCAGACCATCACCAGAGATATTCTGACCAGGAACATCAAAATAATGAAAAAACATATATATATATATATATATGTATATATATATATATATATTATATATATATATATATATATATATATATATATATATATAATATATCATTATTTTGATGTATATATATATATATATATATATATATATATATATATATAAAGGACAATAGAAAAATAGACAATAGCCAAAGCACTATATACCAAACAATCTGATTTGATAATAAACAGCTGACACTTAGCTTCTTCCTATCATCTTCAAGACCAAGATTAATGGTCAAATTACCACACACCTTCTTCCTACACCTGACACACCTACTTCCTACACCTGACACATCTACTTCCTACACCTGACACATCTACTTCCTACACCTGACACACCTACTTCCTACACCTGACACACCTACTTCCCACACCTGACACACCTACTTCCCACACCTGACAATTCCGTACAAGAGAACGCAGTTACCGTCGACTGGGTAACGCCTCGCCTCACACCTCACGGAATATATATAATATTACCTAATCCAATTGTTATTGCCTTTCTGCCTCCGAAGATGCTGAAAAGTGCTTCAGCGAAACAAGTTCTTTACCGGCACACGTTCCTTCTCGGAGAGATTACCGGCAATTCTAGCCGCACGAGATTAGTCAATAATAGGTCTTTGATATCCTTAAGGTCCAGTAAAATTGTGAAACTATATTTTTCGAGTTAATTTTTCAACTTCCTTTCTTGCAAGATTCATTGATCACCCGGACGTGTTATTAAGCAATACGTGTCGGTTAAGACAACAGTTTGACGAGGAAATCAGATTTATGATATAAGGGATTAACATGAGAGACTCTCTCTCTCTCTCTCTCTCTCTCTCTCTCTCTCTCGTCTCTCTCTCTCTCTCTCTCTCCTCTCTCTCTCTCTCTCTCTCTCTCCATCTCTCTCTCTCCTCTCTCTCTCTCTCTCTCTCTCTCTCCCCTCTCTCGCTCTCTCTCTCGTCTCCCTCTCTCTATTGCCAGCAGGTGTTGACACGGCCTGGACGTGTATTGAATATTGCTGTTAAACATATGTCCCCCTCCCAGTCATTCCTTTTATATCACGGCAGAAGAACACGAATGAATCCAGTTGGAAATATCACAGCAGAACGGAACAGAGAAGAGACTAGTGAGAATAAAGAAGCAGTTTGCAAGGATAATGGAATAGCTTGCAAGAATTAAGGAAGAATTAAGGTTTACAAGAATTAAGATAAATCTTGCAATAATTAAGAACCGGCTTGCAAGAATGAAGATAAATCTTGCAAGAATTGAGAAGAAACAAGAATTATACAGAGATACACAGTATGAAATAACATACAGAAATACAGAAGATATTTACCCGTATGCAGAAGACGTACACACAAACATACAAGGAAGAGACATTCACATAACTTACATAATGTGTATTAAAGACATACACATATATGAGAAGACATGTATGCACATGTGTCAGCAGCTGATGACCTGCACCTGTCGTTCGAAATGCCATGTATTATACATCTGTCCAATTGCGTTCAAAATGTATACTTGTATAGCGGTGATTTAAGTAACCTGTGTTGAGAGGTGTTCAGTGCACCGGTCTGAACTCTGTGTGTTATGGAATGTTCAAGACACCTGTTGTGGAATGTTCAAGACACCTGTTGTGGAATGCTCAAGACACCTGTTGTGGAATGTTCAATACATCTGTTGTGGAATGTTCAAGACATCTGTTGTGGAATGCTCAAGACACCTGTTGTGGAATGTTCAAGACACCTGTTGTGGAATGCTCAAGACACCTGTTGTGGAATGTTCAATACACATAATATGACTTTAAGGTTCTCAGTTCAACATTCCAGTGGACAATTAATACGATTATCGAACAAATCCACAAGGGCCGTGACGAGGATTCGAATCTACGTCCGAGACCATCGACATAAATCAAATTAGTCAATAGAAATAACTAGAAAGCCATTTTTTTTTTAACTTGAATATATACAAAAGTCAACCGAACAAGAGACAAACCAAAAAAAAGGGGGGACAAAAAAAGGGAAAAAAAGGGTGGGACAAACAAAAAAGGGGGGACAAAAAAAAGGGGGGACAAAAAAAAGCCTATTCCAAAATAGTCACGAAATGCAAACTCCAGATTACGCGCTATAACGAATTACTCTCGCTTAATCGGACTTATCGGTTGTGTTCAGCGACAGGCGGCCCACATTCCCCCCCCCACACCCCACCCCCCCCCCCTTTCCATTTCGCCCCCCCCCCCCCCTCCCCCTCTAACCCAACTTCCCGGTATCCGATCTGTCACTCACGGTATCCGGTTTTTAGTCATTCTTCCATTTTCTCTTATCCGGTTTTGTACCGCCCGTTTTCTATAGGGTGTCTGGCTCTTGTGCGCCCCCCCTCCCTTTTGGCTCTTGCCCCCCCCCCCCCCTTCCCCAGCTCTTGTGGCTTCTCCCTTGCCTCTTGTGGCCTCCTGCCTCTTATGCCACCCCCCCGCCCCCCCCCCTGCCTCTTGTGGGCCCCTGCCTAGTTCGTAGACGGGAATGGTTCCTTTAGCCAGTGTAACTGGACACGAAGAGTGGCCAAGTTTTTAAGTAAAGGTTTGTTAGCCATAAATGCATGTTATGATGTCTTGACGAGATTGTCAGAGGCTTTACGACGGCTTCCCGCTCAAAACTCTCTCGAGTTGCTTGCAGGCGTGGGAGGGTCTCTTTGGAGTAGATGGGTGAGTCCTTGGAGTAGACGGAGACGAGGTAGGGGGTCTTTGGAGTAGATGGGTGAGTCCTTGGAATAGACAGAGACGAGGTAGGGGTCTTTGGAGTAGATGGAGACGAGGTAGGGGGTCTTTGGAGTAGATGGAGACGAGGTAGGGGGTCTTTTGGAGTAGATGGGTGAGTCCTTGGAGTAGACAGAGACGAGGTAGGGGTCTTTGGAGTAGATGGAGACGAGGTAGGGGGTCTTTGGAGTAGATGGAGACGAGGTAGGGGGTCTTTGGAGTAGATGGGTGAGTCCTTGGAGTAGACAGAGACGAGGTAGGGTCTTTGGAGTAGATGGAGACGAGGTAGGGGGTCTTTGGAGTAGATGGAGACGAGGTAGGGGGTCTTTGGAGTAGATGGGTGAGTCCTTGGAGTAGACAGAGACGAGGTAGGGGTCTTTGGAGTAGATGGAGACGAGGTAGGGGGTCTTTGGAGTAGATGGAGACGAGGTAGGGGGTCTTTGGAGTAGATGGGTGAGTCCTTGGAGTAGACAGAGACGAGGTAGGGGTCTTTGGAGTAGATGGAGACGAGGTAGGGGGTCTTTGGAGTAGATGGGTGAGTCCTTGGAGTAGACAGAGACGAGGTAGGGGTCTTTGGAGTAGATAGACACGTGGAAGGTTTTAGATTTTCCTCTACACGTGGCAGGATTCAGCTCGAACTGAATCACCGATCATTCTCGTTGGCCCCTCACACTAAATAACGAGGAATATATATATACTGCGTGATGAAGATCTTTCCTTCAGTGGATCCTTATTCCTCTTTCTTTACAAGCAGCATTATCTCTCCTCAAAGGTGTCATTAGATCGAAGGTGTCTTTACTGATCGCAGCACCAGATCGAAGGTGTCTTTACTGATGGCAGCACCAGATCGAAGATGTCTTTACTGATGTCAGCACCGGATCGAAGGTGTCTTTACTGATGGCAGCACCAGATCGAAGGTGTCTTTACTGATGGCAGCACCAGATCGAAGGTGTCTTTACTGATGGCAGCACCAGATCGAAGATGTCTTTACTGATGGCAGCACCAGATCGAAGGTGTCTTTACTGATGGCAGCACCAGATCGAAGGTGTCTTTACTGATGGCAGCACCAGATCGAAGGTGTCTTTACTGATGGCAGCACCAGATCGAAGGTGTCTTTACTGATGGCAGCACCAGATCGAAGGTGTCTTTACTGATGGCAGCACCAGATCGAAGGTGTCTTTACTGATGTCAGCACCAGATCGAAGGTGTCTTTACTGATGGCAGCACCAGATCGAAGGTGTCTTTTACTGATGGCAGCACCAGATCGAAGGTGTCTTTACTGATGGCAGCACCAGATCGAAGGTGTCTTTACTGATGGCAGCACCAGATCGAAGGTGTCTTTACTGATGGCAGCACCAGATCGAAGGTGTCTTTACTGATGGCAGCACCAGATCGAAGGTGTCTTTACTGATGTCAGCACCAGATCGAAGATGTCTTCTCAGAATAAATCTGTGACCTGTTCGCGATAACATCCATCTCTACGTGGTTATTTGCTGTGTCACCCCACATGTGCAGGCGCTATGTCACCCCACATGTGCAGGCGCTATGTCACCCCACATGTGCAGGCGCTATGTCACCCCACATGTGCAGGCGCTATGTCACCCCACATGTGCAGGCGCTATGTCACCCCACATGTGCAGGCGCTATGTCACCCCCACATATGCAGGCGCTATGTCACCCCACATGTGCAGGCGCTATGTCACCCCACATGTGCCGGCGCTATGTCACCCCACATGTGCAGGCGCTATGTCACCCCACATATGCAGGCGCTATGTCACCCCACATGTGCAGGCGCTATGTCACCCCACATGTGCAGGCGCTATGTCACCCCACATGTGCAGGCGCTATGTCACCCCACATATGCAGGCGCTATGTCACCCCACATGTGATATACTTGACCGTGAACCTAGTAACACATCTGGAGAGAAGGGATTTCGTGGGTTCAGGGTTTCAACATGGGTTCAGGGAGGGTAAATCTTGCCTCACAGGTTTAATAGAATTCTACGATCAGGTGACAAAGATTAAGCAAGAATGAGAGGGCTGGGCGGACTGTATCTTCTTGGACTGCCGGAAAGACTTTGAGACAGTACCCTATAAGAAGCTGGTGCATAAGTTGGAGAAACAGGCAGGGGTAGCTGGTAAGGTGCTCCAGTGGATAAGGGAGTACCTAAGCAATAGGAAGCAGAGAGTTACGGTGAGGGGTGAGACCTCAGATTGGCGTGTAGTCACCTGTGGAGTCCCACGGGGCTCTGTACTCGAATCTATCCTGTTTCTGATATACGTAAATGATCTCTCGGAGGGTATTGACTCATTCCTCTCAATGTTTGCTGACAACGCCAAAATTATGAGAAGGATTAAGACAGAGGAGGACAGCTTGAGGCTTCAAGAAGATCTGGACAAACTGAAGGAAAGGTCTAACAAATGGTTGTAAGAGTTTAACCCCAGCAAATGTAATGTAATGAAGATAGGTGTAGGGAGCTGGAGGCCAAATACAAGGTATCATTTGGGAAATGAAATTCTTCAAGAGTCAGAGAGAGAGAGAAAGACTTGGGGGTTGATATCACGCCAGACCTGTCCCCTAAAGCTCATATCAAGATGATAACATCAGCAGCATATGCCAGGCTGACTAACATAAGAACGGCCTTTAGAAACTTGTGTAAGGAATCATTCAGAACTTTGTATACCACATATATCAGACCAATCCTGTAGTATGCGGCTCCAGCATGGAATCCATATCTTTTTAAACAAGACTAAACTGGAGAAGGCTCAAAGGTTTGCCACCAGACTAGTACCCGAACTAAGGCGTATGAGCTACGAGGAGAGACTACAGGAATTAAACCTCACGTCGCTGGAAGACAGAAGAGTTATGGGGGGACATGATCCACACATTCAAGATTCTCAAATGAATTGATAGGGTAGATAAAGACAGATTATTTAACACAAGGGGGCACACGCACTAAGGGACACAGGTGGAAATTGAGTGCCCAAATGAGTCATAGAGACAAAAAGTATTATTTCATTGTCATAGTTGTAGTTATAGAAGATGGGATGTATTAGACAGTAATGTGGTGGAGGCTGACTCCATACACAGTTTCAGGCGTAGATATGATAGAGCCCAATAGGCTCAGGAACCTGTACACCAGTTGATTGATGGATGAGAGGCAGGACCAAAGAGCCAGAGCTCAACAGACCGCAAGCTCAACTAGCTGAGTACATGTGTACACGTGTACACGTGTCACTCACATGTGTCACCCACACATGTACACGTGTCACCCACATGTGTAGACATGGTACAAAATATATTTACAAATCTCCTGGTATTTTGGGATGGGCATTTTAATTTCCTGGAATTAGTAGGTTTGGTTTATTTATTCCGTGGAGTTTGGCGCCTCATATGGCACTGTGTCTACTGTGTTACTGTGTCTATTGTGTTACTGTGTCACCGTGTCTGTGTTTACTGTGTCACTGTGCTACTGTGTACACTGGCTTAAAGGGGCTGTGTGATATCCATTACTGCTAGAATCCACTCCACATCTAAACTATTGGGACCGACTAAAATACTTTTAATCTGTATTCCCTTGAGCGCAGACGGGAGAGATATATAATAATTTACACGTGGAAAATACTAGAGGGGCTGGTCTCAAACCTGCACTCAGAAATAACACCACATGAGACCAGAAGGCATGGCAGGATGTGCAGAATACCCCTGTTGAAGAGCAGAGGTGCAACAGGTACTCTGAGAGAGAACTCTATCAACATCAGAGGCCCGAGACTGTTCAACACGCTTCCATTACACATAAGGGTCATAACTGGCCGACCCCTCACAGTGTTCAAGAGAGAACTATCAACATCAGAGGCCCGAGACTGTTCAACACGCTTCCATTACACATAAGGGGCATAACTGGCCGACCCCCTCACAGTGTTCAAGAGAGAACTTTATTAACACCTCCAAAGGATACCTGATCAACCAGGCTGTGACTCATACGACAGGCTGCGAGCAGCCGCGTCCAACAGCCTGGATGACCAGTCCAGCAACCAGGAGGCCTGGTCGAGGACCGGGCCGTGGGATCGCTAAGCCCCGGAATGATCGCAAGGTAACCTCAAGGTAACGTAAGATGATCATGGTACTGGGCCATGGTAATACCATGGTAACAGCTGCAGGAGGCGTGCTGGCCAGTGACCAATAAGACTGTTATAGACGAACTAATGCTGACCTAACATAATAACAGGCGGCGAGTTTTTCAATACACGGAGAGAGAGAGAGAGAGATCGAGAGAGAGAGAGAGAGAGGAGATGATAGAGAGAGATGAAGAGCGAGACCAGACACAGAGGGATGGGAGAGAGAGAGAGACGATAGAGAGTGAGAGGGATAGAGACAGGAGAGAGACAGAAGAGGGAGAGAGAGAGAGAGAGAGAGATGAGATATGAGAGAGAGAGAGAGAGAGAGAGAGAGAGAGAGAGAGAGAGAGAGATAGAGAGAGAGAGAGAGAGAGACAGCGAGACAGCAGAGAGAGAGACAGACAGACGACAGCAGACAGACAGACAGACAGACAGGACGACAGCAGCAGACAGACAGAGAAGAGAGAGATAGAGAGAGATAGAGAGAGAGACAGACAGACAGAGACAGACAGACAGACTGACAGACAGAAAACTACGAGTCTACAATGTACCTAAACAAATAGGAATAATGATCAAATATGAGAATAAAGCATGGGAGAGACGGAAAGGGAAAAATAAAGATTATGTACCGCAAGAAAGAGAAAGGAGAGAATGTATAACTAGCGGAAGCTGGAGATATAAACATGAGTCATAACTGCAATACGGAGGAAGGGGAAGCAGTGGTTATGGAAGGGGGAGTGGTTATGGAAGGGGGAGTGGTTCTGGAAGGGGGGAGATGTGTTATGGAAGGGGGAGTGGTTATGGAAGGGGGAGTGGTTATGGAAGGGGGAGGGGTTATGGAAGGGTAGTGTTTTTATGGAAGGGGGAGTGGTTATGGAGGGGGAGTGGTTATGGAACGGGGGGGGGAGTGTTATGGAAGGGGGAGTGGTTATGGAAGGGGGAGTGGTTATGGACGGGGGAATGGTTTTGGAAGGGGGAGTGTTTATGGCAGGGGGAGTGGTTATGGAAGGGGGAGTGGTATATGGAAGGGGGAGTGGTTATGGAAGGGGAGTGGTTATGGAAGGGGGAGTGGTAAGGGAAGGGGAATGGTTATGAAAGGGGGAGTGGTTATGGAAGGGGGAGTGGTTATGGAAGGGGGGAGTGGTTATGAAAGGGGGAGTGGTTATGGAAGGGGGAGTGGTTATGGAAGGGGGAGTGGTTATGGAAGGGGGAGTGGAGGCTGCACCAATGGAAGAGACAGGACGTAGACGGAAGAAGCAACAGAGCGAAGAGACGATGCGAAAAGATGTGAAAACACTCGAAAACGGAGTAAAAATAAAGAAGAGGGGGAAATAGAGAAAAGGGAAGCAGAGAGAAGGAAAAGGATAGAGTGAAGGAGGAGGAGAGGATAGAAGAGAGTAAGAAAAGAGTAAAGGGAAGAATGGAGAGGAGAAGAAGAAGAGGGTGAAGTAGGCAGGCGTACCAACATAGCCACTGAGGACAGGCACAGCATTGCTGAGGCAGCGTCACAGCGCCCACAGAAGAATACATAGAAAACGGGATTTGGAGTGCCAGCAAATGCCACCTGGTCAGCTATTTATAGACATGAATAAATTATTAATAAACTGTCAATAGTAAAATAACTTAAAAAACATCGTTCGAGATTTTTTGTAAATAAATATACACAGCTGTTAATAAAATATAATTATATTAATTATAATAAATAATATTAATCAATCTTTGCGAGACCAGCCACAAAAACTGGTCAGGAAACAAGAAACAATGGGTATAAATTGGATAAGTTTAGATTTAGGAAAGACTTGGGTAAATACTGGTTCAGTAATAGGGTTGTTGATTTGTGGAACCAATTGCCGCGTAACATTGTGGAGGTGGGGTCCCTCGATTGTTTCAAGCGTGGGTTGGACATGTATACGAGTGGGATTGGGTGGTTATAAATAGGAGCTGCCTCGTAGGGGCCAACAGGCCTTCTGCAGTTGCCTTTGTTCTTATGTTCTTATGGTCACAGAGTAACGACCTCGCTTCATGCAGGGTCGGAGTTCAATCCCCCAATGCCCCGAGTAGCTAAGCATTGTCTCTTCATTCCTTCCTCATATCCTTATCGCCTTTAAAGCGCTTTATCCTGATAATTACCTTAGCTTATAAGACGGAATGAGAACCAAAAAAAACACCGCTAAACGAGGCATGAAAGCAACAGGAGATAAAGAGGGGATAATTGTATAATATTTATAATTGTAATTTATAATTGAGGGATAATTGTAAAATATTTTGCAGTTATATAAAAATATAACTGCAATACAGAACTTTTATTTGCAGGAAAAAGATTGTCAGTATGTGTAAAATATGACTTAAAAAAAATTCGACATGGTCAAAAAAGGAAGTTCCGGTAAAGAAAGCGACATGTGCGATTAAAAAGGAATGCACAAGGAAGTAGTTTTTAAGATACGACAAAATCCAAGTCGCAGTTTATCGCTGGGACGCGACCGAACGACCCACTACCCCAAGCTACACGACCCGTGACGGCGTCTTGGGTGAACGACACACCTGTTGATTGACAGTTGAGAGGCGGGACCAAAGAGCCAGAGCTCAACCCTCGCAAACACAACTAAGTACAACTAGGTGAGTACACACACACACACGACGATTTAAAAATGACTTGTAAAGCAGGGGCCAGATTCACGAAGCAGTTACGCAAGTACTTACGAACGTGTACATCTTTCCTCAATCTTTGACGGCTTTGGTTACATTTATTAAACAGTTTACAAGCATGAAAACATCTCATTCAACTGTTGTTATTGTTATAAACAGCCTCCTGGTGCTTCGGAGCTCATTAACTGTTTAATAATTGTAAACAAAGCCGCCAAAGATTGAGAAAGATGTACGGATTCGTAAGTGCTGGTGTAACTGCTTCGTGAATCATGCTCCAGGAGAAGCTTTGTAAACCAGTTAAGCAGATATTGTGTAAACCAGAGAGGTTAAAACAGAAGACTGGGTGTAAACTTTATAAAACCCTCAGAGTCGAAAATGGAAACCAAACAGCAGACTCTTCTGCAGAATTGGACACATACAGCAAGAATCACTGCGACTGCATCATAAGACATCTGTAATGCATCAATTGTTGACATGTAACTCAGGTCAATGAGTATCAACAATTTGCGCGCTACTTCGTTAATGATGGAACATTTCGCTTAAACTAAAACACCTGCTTGACATCCTCTTGACATCATCCAAACACCTGCTTCTTAAAAAAAAAACACAAAATCGTACGTCTTACCTAAGGCCATACACGAGACAACGATAACTAGATATTTGAAACAATCTCATTAATCAGCGGTAAATGACCTCACTTCGGGGCCTGAGTTTGGAGGGGGGAATGGCCAGAGACGTTGAAGACGGCGCCTTGAGGGTCAAACATCTTGATAGGTTAAGTAATAATTGTAAATAAGAAGCGATAAGATGCTTATCTTAACATACTAAGAAGGTTAGGTGAGGTCGGTGTTTTCTATGAAGCTTTTCAAGGTAAACTAAAATATTCACAATCAATTAGTATGTCACACATGCACTTATTAAATAAGCCAATATTGACCGAAAGCAAGTGCGAGAACAGGTTGCAGCTGGTGTTGGCAAAGACGAGGAGGAGGAGAGACGAACGACAGCTCGAGAACGACAAGACGAGAACGACAGCTTATTGAAATGAACTTGGCGAAGAGCGAGTAACGCCGCACTGGTCGAGGGGAAATATTGAGATCGCGCTGAGAGCGGAAATCCGCGCGCGCCAATTTTCAAAAGTTCGTTTGTCTTTTGTTTATCGAGTCACCACGCTACTCTACCGCCATATTACATCCCCCCTGCTGCGTTACTCCCCCTGTCGTTAGTGGTGTAAACAATTTAATGTGGAATGTTTATACTTATTTTAATCATTTTCATTTCGATCTGTATCTCAAGGTATCTAAATTGTCATATTAAATGACATTCGAATTTCTCTTAAAAACAAATTTTTAATCCTCAAATTTTCACATTGGGGGAATATTGTCCTATGTGGAGACTGGGGGGAGAGGGAATATTGTCCCGTGTGGAGACTATGGGGGGATATTGTCCTATGTGGAGACTGGGGGGAGGGGAATATTGTCCCGTGTGGAGACTATGGGGGGATATTGTCCTATGTGGAGACTGGGGGGAGGGGAATATTGTCCCGTGTGGAGACTATGGGGGGATATTGTCCTATGTGGAGACTGGGGGGGGGGGAATATTGTCCCGTGTGGAGACTATGGGGGGATATTGTCCTATGTGGAGACTGGGGGGAGGGGAATATTGTCCCGTGTGGAGACTATGGGGGGATATTGTCCTATGTGGAGACTGGGGGGAGGGGAATATTGTCCCGTGTGGAGACTATGGGGGGATATTGTCCTATGTGGAGACTGGGGGGGGGGAATATTGTCCCGTGTGGGGACACAGAAAGCGACAAGGAAAATGGCGACAGATTTATTCACTGACAATTGGGACAAGATTGCGTTCCGTGATCTTTGAATACTGAGTTATTGAAGGCGGTAGTTTTGCACTTGGGGTTGTTGCCTCCACCTTGTGCTTGCAACCTGACTACGCACCCTGTTGCAAGCACGGCCAGGGGGGGGGCCGGGTTCACGAAGCAGTTACGCCAGCACTTACGAACCTGTCTCTCTTTTCTCAATCTTTGGCGGCTTTGTTTACAATTATTAAACCAGTTAATGAGCTCCGAAGCACCAGGAAGCTGTTTATAACAATAACAACAGTTGATTGGCAAGTTTTCATGCTTGTAAACTGCTTAATAAATGTAACCAAAACCGTCAAAGATTGAGGAAAGATGTACACGTTCGTATAAGTACTTGCGTAACTGCTTCGTGAATCAAACCCCAGGAGTCCTTAAGCGTTTACACCAACCACTTACGAAACCTCTACATCTACATTAGTAATTGAACAGTTTACGAATTTCGAAACTGGGTAACCCACGTTTAATTTGGTTATAAGAAACCTCGATCTCTTTCGGAACTCATTAACTGTTTTAAGAAAGGTAAACAAAGCCGCTACGATGGGGGAAAAGATCTAAATGTTTCGTTCAGTTGTTGCGAGATTACTTGATGACTTATTTGTCCGTGTTTGCCGTGCTCCTGCCTTGTACTCAGATGTATTAAGTACGTATAAGAGACTAAGGTATGAGTACATTGTCGCTACTTTAAGGCAGTTGCCAACAGTTATGGGTAATTTACCAGACCTTGACAGCTGCGACCTGTCACTCAGCTACCTTGACACCCATGACAGCTGTCATGGCGGAGAAATACCGCTACAACTCCCTCATGGCGGGGAAATACCGCTACAACCCCTCATGGCGGGGAAATACCACTACAACCCCTCATGGCGGGGAAATACCGCTACAACCCCTCATGGCGGGGAAATACCACTACAACCCCTCATGGCGGGGAAATACCACAACAACTCCCTCATGGCGGGGAAATACCACTACAACTCCCTCATGGCGGGGAAATACCGCTACAACCCCTCATGGCGGGGAAAATACCGCTACAACCCCTTCATGGCGGGGAAATACCGCTACAACCCCTCATGGCGGGGAAAATACCGCTACAACCCCTCATGGCGGGGAAAATACCGCTACAACCCGTCATGGCGGGGGAAATACCGCTACAACCCCTCATGGCGGGGGAAATACCGCTACAACCCTTCATGGCGGGGAAAATACCGCTACAACCCCTCATGGCGGGGAAAATACCACTACAACCCTTCATGGCGGGGGAAATACCGCTACAACCCTTCATGGCGGGGAAAATACCGCTACAACCCCTCATGGCGGGGAAAATACCGCTACAACCCCTCATGGCGGGGAAATACCGCTACAACCCCTCATGGCGGGGAAAATACCGCTACAACCCCTCATGGCGGGGAAAATACCGCTACAACCCTTCATGGCGGGGGAAATACCGCTACAACCCCTCATGGCGGGGGAAATACTGCTACAACCCCTTCATGGCGGGGGAAATACCGCTACAACCCCTCATGGCGGGGGAAATACCGCTACAACCCCTTCATGGCGGGGGAAATACCGCTACAACCCCTTCACCCCTTCATGGCGGGGGAAATACCGCTACAACCCCTTCATGGCGGGGGAAATACCGCTACAACCCCTCATGGCGGGGGAAATACCGCTACAACCCCTTCATGGCGGGGGAAATACCGCTACAACCCCTCATGGCGGGGAAAATACCGCTACAACCCATCATGGCGGGGAAAATACCGCTACAACCCGTCATGGCGGGGGAAATACCGCTACAACCCCTCATGGCGGGGGAAATACCGCTACAACCCTTCATGGCGGGGAAAATACCGCTACAACCCCTCATGGCGGGGAAAATACCACTACAGCCCTTCATGGCGGGGGAAATACCGCTACAACCCTTCATGGCGGGGAAAATACCGCTACAACCCCTCATGGCGGGGAAAATACCGCTACAACCCCTCATGGCGGGGGAAATACCGCTACAACCCCTCATGGCGGGGGAAATACTGCTACAACCCCTTCATGGCGGGGGAAATACCGCTACAACCCCTCATGGCGGGGGAAATACCGCTACAACCCCTTCATGGCGGGGGAAATACCGCTACAACCCCTTCACCCCTTCATGGCGGGGAAATACCGCTACAACCCCTTCATGGCGGGGAAATACCGCTACAACCCCTTCATGGCGGGGGAAATACCGCTACAACCCCTTCACCCCTTCATGGCGGGGAAATACTGCTACAACCCCTTCATGGCGGGGAAATACCGCTACAACCCCTTCATGGCGGGGGAAATACCGCTACAACCCCTTCATGGCGGGGAAATACCGCTACAACTCCTTCATGGCGGGGAAATACCGCTACAACCCGTCATGGCGGGGAAATACCGCTACAACCCCTCATGGCGGGGAAATACCGCTACAACCCCTCATGGCGGGGAAATACCGCTACAACCCCTTCATGGCGGGGAAATACCGCTACAACTCCTTCATGGCGGGGAAATACCGCTACAACCCCTCATGGCGGGGAAATACCGCTACAACCCCTCATGGCGGGGAAATACCGCTACAACCCCTTCATGGCGGGGGAAATACCGCTACAACCCCTTCATGGCGGGGAAATACCGCTACAACCCCTCATGGCAGGAATGTCTTCCACCATGCAGGAAGTACACCAGCCACAACCTGCTTGATCACATGGAAATAATAGCCTTAGAAACCTTCCAAGATACAAAACTAATAGCCTAAATTCCTTCCGGAAGTCTTAATTCAGACTGAGAATCTTCTGGAAAACTTAATTCGGACTGAGAACCTTCCAGAAGTCTTAATGCGGACCGAGAACCTTCCGGAAGACTTAATGCGGACTGAGAACCTTCCAGAAGTCTTAATGCGGACCGAGAACCTTCCGGAAGACTTAATGCGGACTGAGAACCTTCCGGAAGTCTTAATGCGGACTGAGAACCTTCTGGAAGTCTTAATGCGGACTGAGAACCTTCTGGAAGTCTTAATGCGGACTGAGAACCTTCTGGAAGACTTAATGCAGACTGAGAACCTTCTGGAAGTCTTAATGCAGACCGAGAACCTTCCGGAAGTCTTAATACGGACTGAGAATCTTCTGGAAGACTTAATGCGGACTGAGAATCTTCCGGAAGTCTTAATGCGGACTGAGAACCTTCCGGAAGACTTAATTCGGACTGAGAACCTTCCGGAAGACTTAATTCGGACTGAGGACCTTCTGGAAGTCTTAATACGGACTGAGAACCTTCCGGAAGACTTAATTCGGACTGAGAACCTTCTGGAAGACTTAATGCGGACTGAGAACCTTCCGGAAGTCTTAATTCGGACTGAGAACCTTCCGGAAGTCTTAATTCGGATTGAGAACCTTCCGGAAGACTTAATTCGGACTGAGAACCTTCTGGAAGACTTAATTCGGACTGAGAACCTTCCGGAAGTCTTAATTCGGATTGAGAACCTTCCGGAAGACTTAATTCGGACTGAGAACCCTCTGGGAGACTTAATTCGGACTGAGAATCTTCCGGAAGTCTAAATGCGGACTGAGAACCTTCTGGAAGACTTAATGCAGACTGAGAACCTTCTGGAAGTCTTAACAGCGGACCGAGAACCTTCCAGAAGATTAGAGAAACCTTCCGGAATATAGAACCTGAGTTCCTGACTCGAGCGAACTTGGCCATGGCAATTTTGCCTCCAAGTTTCTATATATTTGATTAAACCAACTGGCAGCAGCTGGTTTCTGCACGCCATACGGACCCGACGTTCTTGTGTGTGTGTGTGTGTGTGTGTGTGTGTGTGTGTGTGTGTGTGTGTGTGTGTGTGTGTGTGTGTGTGTGCGTGTGTGTGTGCGTGTGTGTTTGAGAGAGAGAGAGAGAGAGAGAGAGAGAGAGAGAGAGAGAGAGAGAGAGAGAGAGAGAGAGAGAGAGAGAGAGAGAGAGAGAGAGTCTATCCAACTAGTGCCCAATTACTAACCATCCCCACAATCTATCCATCAGAATCTATCTTAACTCCCAGGTGTGTGTGTGTGTGTGTGTGTGTGTGTGTGTGTGTGTGTGTGTGTGTGTGTGTGTGTGTGTGTGTGTGTGTGTACTCCACCACACTCTTTACATTAACACACACATATATATTGAGACTGGGACAGTGTTTTCTATCGCCTGAAGCTTCTGTTCACCAGCAGTAATGATCTGGGAGTTAGCGAATGTGGGCTGTGAAGGTATGGAACGGGGGGTCGAAATGTAAGTTCGAGGATTAAGGAGCTGAACATTACCACACACACATTAAGAAATAAAGGGACCGATGAGACATGATCACGACATAGATGGCACGGGGATTTATAAGGTATTTGAGAAAGTCGAACAGTTTGACGTGGATGGACACTCGACGGGCAGAAGAATTACGGAGAATGTTATAAAACATTTTTTATTAAAAGAGGAAGGAAATGGACAGTTGAAAATGACTGAAGGATGACGTAGTAGAAGCTGACTCAGCAGTTTTAATAAGACATTTGTCAAGACACACACACACACACACACACACACACACACACACACACACACACCACACACCCCACACACACACACACACACACACACACACACACACTCACACACACACACACACACACACACACACACACACACACACACACACACACACACACACACACACACACATACACACACACACACACACTCACACACACACACACACCACACACACACACACACACACACACACAGACACACACACACACACACACACACACACACACACACACACACACACACACACACACACACACACACACACACACACACACACACACACACTCACTCCATGCTGGGGCTGCATACTCCAGGATTGGCCTGATATATGTGGTATACAAAGTTCTAAAGAATCATTCAGAACTTTGTATACCACATATGTCAGGCCAATCCTGGAGTATGCAGCCCCAGCATGGAGTCCATGTCTAGTCAAGGATAAGACTAAACTGGAGAAGGTTCAATGGTTTGCCACCAGACTAGTACCCGGGCTGAGAGGTATGAGCTACGAAGAGAGACTACGGGAGTTACACCCCACATCGCTGGAAGACAGAAGAGTTAGGGGGGACATGATCACCACATTCAAGATTCTCAAGGGAATTGATAGGGTAGATAAAGACAGTCTATTTAACACAAGGGGAACACGCACAAGGGGACACAGGTGGAAACTGAGTGCCCAAATGAGCCACAGAGATATTAGAAATAACTTTTTTAGTGTCATTGACAAATGGAATGCATTAGGCAGTGATGTGGTGGAGGCTGACTCCATACACAGTTTCAAGTGTAGATATGATAGAGCCCAATAGGCTCAGCCACCCACTCACACCTACGACAGGAGTCCCCCACAACCCAGGCCAGTGTTAACTGACCAAGATATTAATAATAATAATTATTATTTTAATAATTATAATAATTAAAATAATAAAGATGATAATATTGGGCGTCCGGAGGTCCACGGGCGCTGGAGGTGACGTGTTATTAATAGGTAGTTATGTCTCCCTCCCTCTCTACCTCCCCTTATTCTCTTCCCTCCCTTACCTCACCTCCCCTTTCCCCTCACTCTCCCTCCTTATTCCCCCTTACCCTGCCACCCCATATCCCTCTTGTTCCTTTTTTGTTGTCAATTCTTCTTCTCCCTTCCCTCTCTCTCTCAAGTCTTTTCCCTTTCTCTTTCTCCCTTACTGGTTCCCCTGATTTTGCAGGATTGCCAGCCAGGGACTCTCTCTCTCTCTCTCTCTCTCTCTCTCTCTCACCTCTCCTCGTCTCTCTCACTCTTCTCGCCTCTCTCTCTCTCTCTCTCTCTCTCTCTCTCTCTCTCTCTTCTCTCTCTCTCTCTCTCTCTCTCTACGTTTGTGTGATTATTTCAAGGAAGGCTTTTGTTAATGTTTGTTCACATACTGTAGCCTTCTCTAATATTTATATCGCGACTCTTATGTTGTAGCCAGACCCCTCATATTGTAGCCAGACCCCTTATACAGTAGCCAGACCCCTCATACAGTATCCAGACCCCCCTCATACAGTAGCTAGACCCCCTCATGCAGTAACCAGACCCGTCATACAGTACCCAGACCCCTCATACAGTAGCTAGACCCCTCATACAGTAGCCAGACTCCTTATACACTACCCAGACCCTCATACAGTATCCAGACCCCCTCATACAATAGCCAGACCCCCTCATGCAGTAACCAGACCCGTCATACAGTACCCAGGCCCCTCATACAGTAGCCAGACCTCCTCATATTGTAGCCAGACCCCTCATATTGTAGCCAGACCCCTCATACAGTAGCCAGACCCCCTCATACAGTATCTAGACCCCTCATGTTGTAGCCAGACCCTTCATACAGTAGCCAGACACCTCATACAGTAGCCAGACCCCTCATATTGTAGCCAGACCCCTCATGCAGTAGCCAGACCCCTCATACAGTATCCAGACCCCTCATACAGTAGCCAGACCCCTCATGCAGTAGCCAGACCCCTCATACAGTAGCCAGACCCCTCATGCAGTAGCCAGAACCCTCATACAGTAGCCAGACCCCTCATACAGTAGCCAGACCACTCATATTGTAGCCAGACCCCCTCATATTGTAGCCAGACCCCTCATGTTGTAGCCAGACCCCTCATGCAGTAGCCAGACCCCTCATGCAGTAGCCAGACCCCTCATACAGTAGCCAGACCCCTCATACAGTAGCCAGACCACTCATATTGTAGCCAGACCCCCTCATATTGTAGCTAGACCCCTCATGTTGTAGCCAGACCCCTCATGCAGTAGCCAGATCCCCCTCATACAGTAGCCAGACCCCTCATACAGTAGACAGACCACTCATGTTGTAGCCAGACCCCTCATACAGTAGCCAGACCACTCATGTTGTAGCCAGACCCCTCATACAGTAGCCAGACCCCTCATACAGTAGCCAGACCCCTCATACAGTAGCCAGACCCCTCATATTGTAGCCATACCCCTCATACAGTACCCAGACCCTTCATACAGTAACCAGACCCCCCTCATATAGTAGCCAGACCCTTCATACAGTAGCGAAACCCCCCTCATACAGTAGGCAAACCCCTCATGTTGTAGTCAGACCCCTCATATTGCAGCCAGACCCCTCATACAGTAGATAGAACCCTCTGTTGTAGCCAGATCCCTCATGTTGTGGCCAGACCCCTCATACAGTAGCCAGACCCCTCATACAGTAGCCAGACCCCTCATACAGTAGCCAGACTCCTCATACAGTAGCCAGACCCCTCATACAGTAGCCAAAGCCCCCTCATATTGTAGCCTGACCCCTCATACAGTAGCCAGACCCCCACATATTGCAGTGCAACCCGTCCTCATCAACAAAGGCCAAATGCTCGTTAACCCAGCCGTCAAACCCTCTGTTTATGTATGAAAAAAAACCGGTTTACACACGTGATTCAGAACAGATGAACGTTCGAACATTTCTCGAACAGTGCTTCGCTGACGACCTCTGTTCGAATTGCAGCTCAGTAAATACTTCACCCCCCACACATACATCAAATACAAATAACCGCCATAAGAGAACCTAAACATCTATAACCTACGTCTTAATATATGCACAATATACTAATGTTCTCGATAATATTACGTTACATTCGAGAACATTCTTATTTTTGAACTGACAGTATGTTCAAACTTCTGCGTGCGTCTCTGGAGTGGACAGGCGTAGGGACGGAGGCTAGTAGGGGGGGAACTGTAATATCAATATAGGTATAGGTTAAGTACCAATTGTAATATCTAAACATACTAAGAAGGTTAGGTTAGGTCGTGGTTTTCTATTCAGCTTTTCAGGTAAACTCAAATATTCACAATAAATTAGTATATCACATATGTACTTATTCATAAGCAAAATATCGACTATAAGCAAGTGCGAGAACGGGTTACAGGTGGACGGGTTGTGTAGCCAGACCCCCCCCCCCTCCCCCTCCTCCTCCTTCCCTCATGTTGACGCTCTGTGAGGTGTGGCTCTCATTTTTGTGCATGAGGCTCCGTATATCCAGTGTTTCCAAGTATATCTTCGTATATACTAGTCACAGCGCTCAACTATAGGTATAACGGGTCTTTTAATTCTAAACGTTCACATTTGAGCCCCAGACACTCATAATTGAGCCCAGACACTCATATTTGAGCCCAGATACTCATATTTGAGCCCAGATACTCGTATTTGAGCCCAGATACTCGTATTTGAGCCTAGACACTCATATGTGAGCCCAAGCCCTCGCATTTGAGCCCAGACACTCATATTTGAGCCCAAGCTCTCACATTTGAGCCATGAATATGATCGATCGTTCACTAAAACGGACCAAACGGTCGCTTGTGGGAGGGGGAAGGGAGGGGAACTGTCTTGACGTCTCTTCTCGGTCTGATCTGTGACCTGTGAGGCTCATGTCGGCCATCTTGGGATTCCCTCAAGACTACTACACAACGTGCCCACGGCGTTGCGTTTTTGTTTTTTGTTTTTTTAACCGTAAATCACGTTTTTAAAACGGCGATCTGATTACGTTACTTGTTTGCTGCGGTCCTGATTACAACGGTCACTTTCTGTGGATTTCTGTAGATGTCTACAGAATGACTTCATCTATCTACCACACACTACCCATCTTGTGGTAGATTCCTGCAGCTT